TATCAAAACTTGCTTGTATAAATGCCAGATTGTTTTACGTTGTAGCGACTGAAGAGATTAAAAGAAATGCTTACATCTCGCAGTATTTGTCTTCTTTCGGTTCTAACGAAATACAAAATTTTTCTAATAAAGAAATGTAATTTTCTGTCCTAGAATGTGACACTTAGAAGTAAACTTGGTACTATACTGTAACGTGAGTCGTTTGGTAAACGTATTTAGCAATGAACGTACTGTAGTAAGATAATTATTACTGTTTCGTCAGAAATCCAATCAATCGTCTAGATAGAAAATGTGGACAATAGAAAAATATATTTAGGCGCAGAGCCAGTATGAAATTTATGAGAACCAATACAAAAATAAGACCAGACGGAGTCGTCGACGTGTACGAATGCCGAATATGATAATTACGACGTATTTACTATGAGGAGATTTGAAACGATCAATCAGGCCTGTTGGACTGCACAAAGGTGGAAGGGAACCACAGTGAGCGAATGGTTCCTGTTGCTGAAAGCAGTAACTGGCAGATTCGACCATGAGGACTGGTTTACAGTGAACAGATTAAAGAACATTTTCGTATTCAAACATTGATTTAAGGTTGACCACCTCTTGCATCTAAACTGTGCATTAATGTTTTCTAATCATACGATTGAATTTATCACTAAACTGTCAAACACAAATGGCAGCAGATTTATCTTTTCCACGGATTGGGAGTTTTTAACTAACGCCCAACGTCCAGTTTGCTGTATGAGTGACGATACAATAACTGGCAAAGGCAATCACTCGTTAGCATTCGAAGTATATCGTTTGTATCACGCAGAGTGTCAACGTTACATCGTCTGAAATGAAATCAGAGCCACCTTTCGGTTTTCAGAGCTCATTTTCCGGGGACAATTATTGACAGAGTTCCATTGGCTATGTTTGGAATACAATTGGTGGAAAGCACCCCGAATCATTCGATAGGGTCTACTCGTAGCCGAAGCACAGCAGAGCCCAATGTTTACAAAAATAAGAAAGCGTAGTATAAAACCGGAAACTGTAAAAGCATATCAAGCTTGATTTGCTTCTTATTGGATTGTTCATTCCGTCATAGTACAAAGATAATGCAATGAGCGTTTTTAACGGTGTCTCGATGTAACTTTGACAGAGCGAACGTTTTCTAAAGAACNCCATTAAAAGTTTTAAATAAAGATTGTGCATGATTGCTCGTGGTGTGGTCATTTCCAAGTAACTTAACCATCTGCCGCGGGGATCATGTGTTGCTACGTTTAATGGATAAAAAAGGTGTGAAATATTATATAAAATATCCGAAGACACATAACGCTGTTGTGAGGGAATGCGCCCGATAAATCTGAAAAGAGGTTCAAATCGCTATTTGGCAGTACCAGGGTATGTGTATTGTGGCTGTTCTAGTGCTCGGTAACAGTCTTCAGGAAGCTTTACCTTTTCTGCTCATATAGTGATGAGATGTATGTGCAGATGGGCCAGTAGAATGGAGCGAGTCAGCTAACTTTAGTTTCGTAGATATCGTTTAAATGGATGCTGACTATCAATGATGTGAGTTTGTTCACTTCAAGTTAAATTAAGATCAAATTACATATCAATAAAAAATTTGAATTTGTTTAAACTGGGTTCGATCTATTTTGGAATTCTTGTATGTGACGAAGGAATCGGGGTTATAATTAACTGTTCACAATTATTGACTTAGCATGTTTCTATCATTCGAGCACTGAATGTAACGGACTGACTGGTGGAGTGTTCTTGTTGTTACTCGTCCTGTAAACACAATGTAACAGCCAACCTGGGAATCGTGGTCAATAAATAAAACTTCTGATTATCACCAAATAAACTGGTTTCAATGGGGGTGACATACTACTCCTCTACTTTGTTCACATGAGTGCCACTGTGAGGCATTTTGCTAGTTGTGCATTTCAATGCCAAAAGTACCTAGCAAGTTTTATGTTGTTCAAAACCGGCGGTGTAAAGTTCAGGGAAAAGGTTGCCCCAATCAAATTTCGCCGTCTGCTTTATTTATGTTTTAGACTAGACCCTTCCATGCCACGGCTTACCTCCCCATTAAAAACTATAAACATCGATTAGCTTTTCGATTCATTTTAGTGTAACTCGTTTTTTAATTAGCCGACAGCAGTGGGTTAGTTTCCAGTTTGTTCACTGTCATCTGAATCGCAGGCAATCAACGACCCAGACCCAGACGTTCCCCAAAAAAGGATTACGCATACATCGATCTAACCAAACATTTCTTAACGCTGAGTAATTTACTCAACAAGTACACCGTTGGCCAAAAAAAACTAACTGAAAGCTTCCCATCAGAGAGTTCCAGTTCAGCTGACAGTCCAAATCCAAAAGTAAAATAAAACGTGAATAGATGACCTGATTCTCATGAACGGTGCTCAGTTGAAATTTGTTCACAATCGATCATCATATGTCTGGTAATTTCAGACCTCATACAAGCAATGTATCGGTGATAGTCGTGTAAAACAAACTGGGTCAATATCATGTGGAGCGATAAAGCACGTTTTTAGGCTTGAATGGTAAGCACCAAAACTGAGAGCCAAATAGAAGGAACTGAGGTATACGGAAAGAATGTTATGACAATTTGAAGCTTCTCCTTCGGTGTGTGGGGTTATTTAGTCTTTTGGTAGGAGTGAACTGCTTTCAATTGCGGAACTCATGACTGATTCGCATTATACAAGGATATTAAATGGTCGACTGAAACCGCTGCTAGATCTGGAAGCAAATTTAGCTTCCAAGACTATAACATTAACATCCACATGATATTGTCACATCACGCTCCACACAATAGAACCGTACCGTTTCTGACAATCCAGACTTTGATTTTATGAACGAATCTGATTAGGTTTATATATGTGATCAAGGATCGGGAACAGCAAGACATAGAGGACGGTTCAGTATCAGTTAAACTCGAGACAAACTTTTGATTAATACACACACTAATTTAAGTCATGTTTCTATCAAAATATCACAGTAATAACTCAATTATCTGGACAGATAAACGTACATAAGTACGTATCGGACTATTTGAGAAGGACAATGCATATTTCTGCTGACAGTCTACCGCATCCCTTTTTCTATTTCATTACTCATAGAGGGACCTGCTGAATTTGGATCCGTCTGTTCGGTATCAGAGTCCATAAACATTCCTACACGTGTGTGCCATTTACAATCACTGAACTGGCTAGTTTGATCAGATGACACTGACCTGAGCGAATAAAAATCGCACACTAGCTAAGTCTGCATTGACCTCTCTTGCAAGTGATTAAAACAGAAGTAATTGTTAAAAAATTTAATCATTTTATGATAATTCACCAGCCACGCTCACCTCTCGTGCACATCGTCTCAATCAGCTGACCAATGCGATCTTTCAAAGCGGCCGCTCGGGGCAAATCGATCAAATGAATAGACGGGGGTGGAGAAACAAATTGCGTGAGCCAGTGTGCTTCTGCCGGACCGGTCAATGGTCCGATGTGAACCATGGTCAGACGAGCGCCCATATCACGAAGTACACGTGCTACGTGCAACGCATCCGGCCATGAGACTTCAACCCCGTCGGTGATCACGTAGAGTAGTACGGGTATCTTTGGACGTTGATGCGGTAGAACCTACATATCCGTGGGTAAGGACAGACAGATATCATATGAGGAATTGAGTTGGTGTCATGTCGTCGAATCTGCTTGAATTTCAACCTTTCTAATTGTCATTGAATTGCAAGTAAAGTGTTTATCCATTTTTCCGGTTCGAAGTATGGTGTTTCGAGTCATACGCTGCGATTGTTTCAGCTCCAATTAAAGAAGAAAATGCCTCGAACAGCCTTATTGATGTCGTAGGTGGGGATCCTGGGTCTTCTGTTGCGCTAAGTACAATACTTCTAAGCGACCCGGTGTATTGACTGACCTCTGCTGAGGAATCTCTACTCCATGGCCTCACGTGATCAAGTTTTTCTCAGACCAAAATACGAGGACGAAAAGCCGAAAACCATGGGCAGTAATCAGAATGGTGAACCACTGACAATTCGTTCGAGGGAATTAGCTAGACCTTTCATTCTAACCCAACAAAAATGATGAAGCAGTGGACAATTACATTTGCTCTAATAAGTCACTATGATGCGTAATGACTATGATGAAAATTTGGTACTCCAACTAGAAGAGTGAAATCGATTAAATACTGAACTTGGGCATCTTGAACGGTTTCTCACCAAAGCACAGCATTTAACATCATTGTGTGTGAATCAGTGAATATCGTTAAAATCGTGTGATACCATCGTATCTCCCTGTCCTCACCCCTGGACTGGCCTCCTAGTGTTCACTGTCTGTGTTTACCATTGAGAAACTCACTTCTCGCTCCACCAGGGCCAGTGCTGCTCCCAGGTTTGATCCGTGTGTATCTACCAATGTGATTCGATCGATTTGGTCCAAAATTTGTGCTGGGTCATGTCTCTCTTCCAGGTTGTACAACAGTTCCGGATGATGTGCGTAGACCACAATCGCGAACCGATGACTATTGCCCTGTTCTCGACTCGCGGCAGACAGTGTAAATGCATGGATCGTGGTGTGCATCATCCGCTGCACATGTTCCAAATAGTCCGGTTGACGTTTAATAACTGCGGCATCGATCATGAATATCACCTCAGCAGCGCTGACCACGGGACATACTATCAAAATACATGTGAGAAGGGACCAGACGATGGGGTTAAAAGATGACAATTCATGATGAAATAAACTATGGGTGTCATTCGGGTCATCGTTTGAAATGTTTATTAATAGTTGTTTTTTCTCCAGGATGATAGGTTATGCATAAGCCCTAACAAGGAAACTTACTCAGAGCAACAGAAAAATATGGTCTATTTAGTAGTGATTTCTTTGCTCCTGCATTCCTGTTACACGAACAATAAAAAAAAATTATCAAATAAAATAAATCCAAATATACCGCATCCATTGTTTAGCATATGCGCCCATGAAAATTGTGATTAACGCCGATTTTCGTGGTCAATTTGATTCATTAAATGATTTCAACGAATTTAATGGGTCGACTTTTGTGATATTTAGCTGCAACGTTACACTTCCCTAGGATAGAGTACGTCAAAGGGAGGTAAACTATCTCTAAATATTGTAACTATCTTTATCATTCATGCCTTCAGTCAGATGTTTGGAGCAGTGCACACCAATAGGTAAGATGTTGATGATGATGATAATTACGATGATGGTGATACATCAACCATTTAATAACGATGCCTACTGGATAGCGGCTTCATCTGAGACAGCGTATATTCGCGGTGTATCACTTGATTTCGATCCGAAAAGACAACCATCCTGATGTTATCAAATAATGGCCATCTATCCGGTAGATTACACGGGGTTGATCTTTGTGGTAGTGACCGTTAACGGTTCCGAAGTACCAGCGGCACAGTGTTCCGTTTAGCTTTCAGTGATGTTTAATCAGTTAATCCTCAATATGAAAATAAGCTGTTCCTATTAATCAGTCATTATAAGCAATAATCAAACATGTTTCATTAGTAATGTCAGTTTGCTAATTGCTCACCTGAATCTGAACTGGAGGAACTTACAGCATGGTTTGACGATCACCTTTCGACGATAGTTGCACGCGCAGCTTTCCTGGAATGGCTGAATCAATAGATGCTTCTGTTTCCCTTCGTGACACATCTCAATCGGTTTTACGATAATCTCTTTCTCACAAGCTGTATGAAAAGAAAATGCAAAATGCGCTCATCACAAAACAGTCTTATGATAGAAAAGCAGGTTCCTGGTTCGGTCTGAGTTGCTGAAACAAACCACAAAACAGTTCAAGGGTACTCCAAACCACAAGAGGTGAACTCATTAAGAACTCAATGCCCTAATAAAAAACCACGGATACGTGGTCGAACGAACCCCTAATTGAAAAGATACCATGTGGGAGGTGGTTTGTCCATTCGCTCTGACCAATGTGTGAATCACATAGAGATAGTAATGTTCATCCAATTGTTTCCATAGACAGTTGATGTTAGACACTGTTTAAGGAGTCTAGGGGAAAAATGGATGTTATTCGTGTCCCGTCCAATGTCCCCCCC